TAATATTATTTTTTTAATTCTGTGTGTTTTGTGTTTTGATTATTATATGGCAAAGGGATTTTTTTTTGATCCAGTCTATTTGGTGTTCTGTAAGCTTCTTGTACCTTCATTGGTATATCCTTCTTTAGGTTGGGAAAGTTTTCTTCTATATTTTTTGAATATATTTTCTGTGCCTTTGAGCTGGAATTCTTCTCCTTCTTCTACCCGTTATTCTCAGGTTTGGTCTTTTTATGGTGTCCCAGATTTCCTGAATGTTTTGTGTTAAGAATTTGTTGGATTTAGTGTTTTCTTTAACCACTGAGTCTATTTTTTCAATATTATCTTCAGTGCCTGAGATTCTTTCTTCTACCTCTTGTATTCTGTTAGTGATACTTGTCTCTGTAGTTCCTGTTCATTTACCCAGATTTTCCATTTCCAGAGTTCCCTCGGTTTGTGTTTTATTACCTTTATTTCAATCTTCAAATCTTGAACTGTTTTCTTCACCTGTTTGATTGCTTTTTCTTGGTTTTCATTGAAAGATTTATTAATTCCTTCCAGCTTTTTGTTTGTCTTCTCCTCCATTTCTTTAAGGGAGTTTTTCACTTCCTCTTTAAAGGTCTCCATCATTTTCATTAAGTAATGTTTAAAGTCGTTTTCTTCTATATCTTCTGGATTAGGATGATCAAGTCTTCCTGTTGTGTGTCTACTGGGTTCTGGTGGTACCATATTGCTTTTTAGGATGTTGGAGGAGTTCTTGCATTGGCATCTTCCCATCCCTTTCTTCAACTCTTATGTCTCTTGTGTCCACCAAGAGTTGGTCTCCATGGAGCTCTCAGGGAACGATGCATTGGGGGTGGAGTAGATGGCTGTCTAGCAGACCAGCTCCCTGCTGGTGTTAGGAATGCTGAAGGCACCTGGGGAGAGGGACCCCGGCCTTTCTCCTGCATGGAGGTTTTAGGGAGTAGGGGTCTGGGGTCCCAGGGCCACTGTTGTCTCACCTCTTATGGCCACCAAGTATTGGTCTCCAAGGAGCTCATGGGAAACGATGTGTTGGGGCGATGGGGGAAATTTTCATGAGGTCTCAACTATAGACAAAGAACTACAGGCAACTAAGGGATGCAAAGAGTGGGAAAAGTAATCTTTCCCGGGGAAGAAAGATACACACACACACACACACATACGTACACACAAAAGGTAACATTATTTGTGCTAAGCAGGTTATATTTCTATATTTAGAAACACACACAATGACAATTAAAGATAAACGTACATGAATTTGAAAGAGCAAAGGTGGTACATAAGATGGTTTGGAGGGAGGAAAGGGAAGATATAAATGATATAGTTATTTTAATTAATCTCAAAAATAAAAGCATGAAAAATAAAACACCATGAAAAAGAAAATTTCTTTAAGTCTGCAGAGTACCAACATTCCATAATTGCGGATGAACAAAAACTGTTTCAGCTTTCTTCCTATTTCATTTTAATACCAGAGGACCAGGAAATTTAAGGGAGAGAGGCCTGAGGCCTGGGGAGCTTCTGGTGGCCTGAGCTGTGCTCCTTGTATGTGAAGTACAAGAGGTGACTTGAAAAGTAATTTGGAATTTTCTCAAAAGCTTTTATAAATAATAGAAAAACTATTAAAAATGTGAAATCCAGTTTCATCTCAGCTAATTTGTGGTTGCTATACAAAAGTGACCAGTTTGAAAATAAGAAATGTGATACTCATTTTTAATAACATCAAATCCTATAATAATGCCATGGAATAAGTGTGAGAAGCAATGTATCAAGTCGACTAAGTAAAAGTTCAAAATCCTACTAAAAAGATAGAAAAGAAGCCCAAGAAAATGGACATAGAGAATCCTTTTTTTTTTTTTTTTGGTGTGGAAGATTTAACTCAGAAGATGTCAATTTAATGTTAACATATTCTCAATTTAAAAGGCAATACAAATTAATTTTAGTATTTGTAGGAAAGTGGAATCATGAGTGATGATATTAGATCCATAAAATACACAAGGTAGAATGATAAAAGCTCTAACAGTTAAGGCAGTTCATTACTAATGTTACTAAGTTAATTTGACAGGTAATGGAATCATAGAGCTCACATAAGCAAAAGCACTTCCCTGGTCCACGTGACTGTAGTTTCCTGCCTAGGCTGTTGCTACAGCTGGCTCAGCAGCTGTTCCTCAACTACAGTTATCTCCGCATAATCTGACCTCATCAGAGTAGTAAGAATGATTGTTTGGGGGCATGAAACAAAGCCAGGTATGGTAGTACACGTAATTCCAGTGCTCACAGTGATACAGGGAGATAGCAAGTTCTCTCCAGCCTGAGGTATGTTGTAAGACCTTGTTTCAAAAGGAAAAAGTGGGAGGGGACATTCAAACAGAGGAACACCTCCACCAGAGCGCTGCAGTGGGAGGGGACATTCAAACAGAGGAACACCTCCATCAGAGCTCTGCGGTGGCACCTGTTTCACTCTGCACACTAACCAAGCACCTGCACTGGCTTCATGGCCCTCCCTAGCGTGGCCCTGAGTAATTTTCTTCATGACCCTGTCTTCATCATTGTTTCTCAGTCACCCTGGGCTCTTTGATGCATATTGCATATAGCCATATTCTGCCTTAGAAGATGTTTCCTCTAGAAACCTTGTTTCCTTGATTAGGCTAACTCCCAAACCTCTCTCAAGTCTTGGTTTAAGAGTCACCATGTCAATGAGCTCCTCTACCCATCCTGGCCCTCTCACTCCGCATGGGTGATCACCCTTACTCCCTCCTGCCAGGTGGGCTTTTCTTTTCTCACACAGTGTGGTGGAGTGTTTTTTTTCATACAACACACCATCGGTGAGTTTTGTCTACTCACTAATAGATTCTAGGGGTCTACATTGTGTTGAATCAATTGATAAATAGCACAAATTAGAGAGAAAATTGAGAAAATAAAGTATATATCTTTTGATATTATAAAATAAGTGCTTGTAAATGCATACTATACTTGTAGAAGAATAGCAAAAACGTTAATGTGGTGAGATCTTGGTGAGCAAGAATTTCAAGAATGAGAAGAATAGCACATTCATAATCACTAGAACTTGAAATTGTGACATTTTATTAAAAAACTTCTAGAATTTCTAATTCTGGAATTAAAAATTCTTCATAAAGTTGAGGCTCAGCTATTGGGAGCCATCAAATGTGTTCATTTGTTCAGCCACAAGGTGTCCTGTATCTACCAAAAGTTCTTAAAGAAGCCCTGACAATGTCACAGCTTTCTGCTTCCCTTCATTGTCTGTCGTTGTTATTGCTAACAGTCGTGAGCTCTTTCCATACAGGTAGTAGCAGAGCATCTATTCAGTTTTAGGAGGAGATTTTCTTCACTACACAGCTTCTCAATGTCATGATAACATCAGTGCTGCAGAGATAACTGCGATAAAAACTAGCATATGTATTCTAGATAAGGTCTGTCTATGTAGCACTAACTGACCTAAAACTCACTATGGAGACCAGTCTGACTTTGAACTCACAGAGATCCACCTGCCTCTGCCTCCTGGGTGCTGGGGTAAAAGTTTTATGTCACCATGCCCACCCAGATATTAATAATGTAGAATTTGCAGTGTGAAGCCCAGCAAGATGGTTCAGTGTATAAAGATGCTTGTCTCCAAGCCTGACAACCTGAGTTTGGTCCTCAGAACTCACATGTCACATGGTGGGAGGAGAGAACCAGACCCTTTACATTGTCTTTCAGCTTCCACACATGTGCTGTGGCTCACACACAAAAATATGTAAATGTAAACATTAAAGAGTACAGTTAACAAAATGAATGAATGAAATTTACATATTATGTGTGTGAAAGTATATTTTATTTGATATTTTCTTTTACTGCTTGAATTCTGTACCAGTGGTTGCCCAGAACCACAGTTAAGAAACGTTTTTCTGAATGTTCACAGCACTCCGTGAGGTGTCAGAGCAGAGGGACTGTGCAAGTCACAAAGGTCAATGCGCCCTGTCTCCATGGGCCTTTGTGTATGGGTGGTGATGGCCATGACACATGCCAGAATGTAACAAATCATTAAATGAGTGCATTGGGCATAGTTGGAGCCGATAGTTGATATTAATTTGGGGACTAGAGAAATGATGTGGCTTTGTGCACAGTTTCTTTCCGTAAGTTGAGAGGGGGTGCTCTAGAGGTTGGAAATCCTGTTCAAACTACACTATCCCTTTTGTCAAAGACAAGCCTAAGACCTTTGTGTATAGGTGCTAAATATGTATTGGTAGTATAAATATCTATAGTCCCCGTAATGGCATTTTCAAGAAAATTGTGTCATGCATTTTTATCAATTGTAGAACTGAAAGACATGAAAATCTTCCTAGTAATTAAAAATCTTTGGAAAAATTGCTGTATTAGATGACTAATATTTTTAACTGAGATTATTTTGTTCAGTTTTTAAGCATCTAGAAAATATGCTGTGTCTTGTTAGAATAGCATACACTGAAGTCTTATTATTCTAGAAAACCATCATCTATTTTCTCAGATAATACTCATGAAAACTCGGGTGTTGGCTGCTCATACTCACATATTATACATGGAGAGGCTGGGGTGCAGCAAGTTTAAGAAATGTGTATACGTGTTGAGGTCTGCCACAGTGCCCAAAATGAATGCAAATAGAATTGATGTTTTTATTCTACAAATATTGTTTTGTCATTTCTCCCACTCTGGTATCATTCTCTGTCACATAGAGTGAGGTTAGTGTTACTCCAGTCAGCTGTGCTCATGTTGACTGCTTGCTTACCCTGGGAGCATGTGAGATGCATCTTATCATCTTAACGAGATAGGTATTAACTTGCAAGATTCTCACAGCACTGCTAACTTTTAAAACAATGAAATAATAGTCAGATACTAATGCCTAAGTGATAATGTTATACAGTGCTCAAATTAAACTCAGTTCCAGCAAGTATTTAAAGTATAGATTCTAAAACAAAATTAATATTTAAAGTTAAAAGTTACTCCTTGTCTGCATTTATGCATTTATATAGACCACAGAATGTACAAATAAAAAGAGGTGGTATAGAAGTGCCCTCGAGGAGGCGTACCAGCTCTACAGGCGTTCTCCTGAGCAAAGACTAGACGTGTGCTGCCTGTCCAAACGGGGTATGTGTAGTTCTTTCTTACTGTCTAGTCAGAGCGCCTGATGTGTGTCTGCTGAAGTATGTGTGCACATTTAGAAATCTCTGTCTTTTCTTCAAATGTGGTTTCTGTTTATTGTAAAAGAATTTTCAAGTGAATTAATAGCAATATCTTGTCTTCCAAAATTATTCTCAGTGACTAAACTCTGTTTAAACGTGGGTATTGTAATTAGTTCTTCCTGGTATTTTATTTACTCTTGGACTGCATAGACCATTACTTCAAAGCATATAATTCAAAATTTAGGAACCATAGATTTAAAATGTATTCCTAGTAGAATGATTTTACATGAATGTACTAGGGTTTGTATTTTGTTTTATTTTTGAGAATACTGTGTTTTCAAGATACTTGATTTTAAAATAAATTCAAATCAGGGGTGAGCTATATGGCTCACAATTTAAAATTTGTTTTTATTCTATTTCCATTATCTATGTGGACACACCATGATGTGCTTGTAAAGGTCAGAGAGAACAACTTTAGGGATCAATTAACTAATTTTGTGGGTGGGTCCTAGGAATTCATCCAACTCAGGTCAAAAGACAAGCTCCTTTACTGACAACCTCCTTACAGGCTCACAAACATTTTAAAATCAAAATTATTTTCCCCTCACCCATAACTGCATTTTACTTATGAAAGTTCCTCCTCACTCATCTGATCCAACTCTTCCAGGTCCCTCCTTTCCATCCCTCCCAAACTTCATGATACACACACGCACACACACACACACACACACACACACACACACCCCTATGAGTCAGTCAGTGTTGCTTTCATACACAGAAATTTAGGGCTGTCCACTGTCCACTGTAGCATTAACAATCTATTCAGGACTTTGTCCCTGACTGTTGTAAGCACCACGTTTGGATGACATCTGTTGTTATTCACTTTTGATGGAGTTTATGCATTCCAGGGCAGAAGCGTGAGGATTAGAATTACTAAGCAAAAGGAACAGAGACACGAGAGAAATAAAAGACAGAAGCACAGAACAATATCAGGAGGGAAATTCAGTGAGTACTGAATTTGCCCATGTTTATTCTACATGTTTATATACTTCTCTCCAAAAGGGGAGACTTCATTGACGTGATATAAAGAATAGACCAAGTTTTCTGCAGTTAGCCACTCTCTGAAACCTCCTGCCAGTCTCCTTGAAGGAACAGAAATAGACTTGAATTCTCTGGCCTTTGATCAAAGTAGAGTGGATCCACCTCTACACTCAAAATACTAATTAACATCACTCTAGGTCAGGATCCCTTGTTTATAGCCACACCTGTTGTCAACAACTTTGAAAGAGTAAAAATAAGCTCAAACTCTCTGACCTTTAGTCAAGGTAGAACAGGACTCACATCTCTGGGACCCCACACCTGACAAAACCATTCTCTTTCCTGGCATCTGTCAGATGCCTGTAGCTTCTCAACTAGGAGTGGGGTCTCCTGATCTGTCTAGTTCATGCTAGGGTGAGCTTGTGCAGGCTCATGGCTGTTTAGAGTCTGTGAGTACAGTGACCCGTTGCATCCAGAAGACACCATTTTGTAGCAGTCCCCTTAAAAGCTTTCTGCCCCCTTGTCCATGATGTTCCCAGAACCTCGAGGGAGGGATTGTGACATGGAGGTCACATGTAGGGATAAGGAGTCCACAGTACCTACTCTTTGCATCATTTGTGTTCTTTCTGTTAACATCAGTCTATTGCAAAAAGGAAATTCTCTGATGAGGACTGAGAGCTGGACTAATCTATGGGTGTAAGTGTTTAGAAGGCAGTTGGGTACTATATCAGCTTAACAAGATGACAGTAGCAGATTCTCCCCTAGGATCCATGATCTCTCTGCCTGCAAGTTTTTTTGACCAGGTTTACTGTACCAGGTGTGAGTTTCTACCTGTTGAGCAGGCCTTAAATCCAATCAGATAGTTGTTGCTTATTGCCTAAGACATTCATGCTGTGGTTATGCCAATAGGTATAACTTGCCAGGGGAGTTCACAGGTCCAAATTGGACCAGACTGTTAGTACCTTTTGTCTCACAGCCTAGCAGTTCACAGTACTATGAAAAGCTGTCCCTAAGGAGGGAGTCTTCTACGTTAGTACCAGCTTGATTTCTCTAAATCCTGTGACCAAAGCATGTGGCATTTTCTGCCATAGGTTCTTACCATCAACTTCTGCTGAGCAGCCAAGTGCGGTGGCAATAGCCTCCTCAATCTTCTTTAAAAATTATATTACAAGCGAGGTAGTGGTGGTGCACTCCTTTAATACCAGCACTTGGGAGGCAGAGACAGGTGGATCTGTGAGTTCCAGTCCACCCTGGTCTACAGAGCAAGTTCCAGGACAGGCTCTGAAGCTACAAAGAAATGCTGTCTCGAAAAACCAAAAAAAAAAAAAAAAAAAATTACAGCATAATTTAATGCTTTCGAGCTTAATCTAGTGTTTTTGTTATATATTATATTAAATACATCAGGTATTTTCACTAATACATCGGGTCATTTTAGGAAACATTCTTGAATCACAGATGTTGTGATTTATCATGCTTAGCCTTTAAATTCACTCATTTGAATGGCTGGCTCAGTTGGCATGGGACACTTAAGATTACGGTTGTTCTGGGAAATAATTGTAATAAACTCAAATATATGTGCAGTGATTGCAGTAATTTTATACCCCACGCAGCCTTGTGTCTATTACCTTAAGTTTGAAAGCAGGGTCCTTCGTGGAAAGATCTGACCTTCAACTGAGCCCTACAACAATAGTTAAGAGTTTTTTCTCCATTGGAAAAGTTTACTGTATATTCTTGGTAAATTTGTATGGGAAGCTTTTGATTTGAGAAAAACACAAATGGCAAATAGTGTTGCTCCGGTTGCTCTCGGGCCAGAAGAGACCCTGACTGCTACAGATGTGACTCCTTCTTTATATTGAAATGACATTTGTTAGCAGCACGGGTTCAGCTCTGTGTTGTCACATGATCTATCCATGTGCAGCCAGTCTTTTTGTTCAACCACAACAGGCTTTAAAACATTTTACCTAAGTAATATAATCACTTAGCTGAAGGGGATTATGTCTTTTACACTAGCACTGACTTGCTGTCTTGGTGGTATGGACTGTCTTGGTCATCAGTATGCTGGGCAGCTCGTCTCCTGTTCTTTGACATTTCCCCTGTCCAGAGAGCCTCAAGAGCAATAATTCTCTGGTTGGTTCTGTAGCAAAAATGCTAAAAGTCTTTTGACTAAAAGTCGCATGACTTTTATATGTAGAATTTGATGTAATTCAGCCTGGCTTTTGAGAGCCATGACCTCAGGACTTCACTTTTGTCCTTGAAGTAGCCAGTGCAGGAGGCAGAGAAGTATCTATGGGTTATGTCCTCACCAACACAGGATTGCTTTTCTAAACCTGCAGTTTCAGTTTTGAAAGGATTGATTTAACCTCTGAGTGTGCTTAGCATCCAGCATGGAGTTGTGTACAGTATTTAGCTTCTTATTGTATCCAAACATCATTTTCAGAGGTTAGCCAACATTTAGATATTTCACTATAGGTAAGCAGCGTAGAGGCAGCTTGGAGGCTTTCTTCTGACAGTTTCATACTTCAGCCTAGAACTAATTACTTTAAACACGTAGTCCATGTTCTTTTGACCTGCAGCAATTGATTTTGTTGCGGGTTCTTTATTAAAATGGGCATGGCCATTAGATGATATGTATAAAGGACTCAGATTAAGGTTCTGCCTTAGTTGCCCCTTTTCTTGTTTGTTTTATTTGACTAATACTCCAGCTTAGTAATTCTTTTAATGAAGCTTGAAAACTTGATTATTCTCTCTGTGTGCATGTGTATGTGTGGCAGGATATCTAATACAAAAGCCTCACCCTTGCTAGGTGCTCACCACTAGAGTGGATCTCTCTACTTCCCCCATAATTACTCATGCTTTTGCAAAATAGACTTCCATGTTTAGAGCAGCCTTCGGTTCACAAACACTGGGTGTGCGTGCAGTTTCCAAATGCCTCTATATCCACTCAGAACTCACCTCTCCCTGTTGGACCTCACACTGGGGTTTACTGTAGTTAGTAAACGTACATTACTCATCTTAGTTATCCCCAGAGTTCATAGTGCACATGAGGGGCCACTCTAGGCTTACACTCTGTGTTTGACAGGTATAATCTCATGTGTCTGTAGTGATATTTTACTTATGTTCAATAAATAAAGCTTGCCTGAAGACCAGAAGGTAAAACTAAGCCACTAGAGGCCAGACAGTTGTGGCACACACCTTTAATCCCAGGATTTGGGAGACAGAGGCAGATGGATCTCTATGAGTTCAAGACCACCTTGGACCATACAAGATCAATGCAGAAAAAACAGATCCAGGTGGCCGTGGCTCACACCTTAGTCCTAGTCCTAGGGAGCACTAGTCCAGCACTAGAGTGGAATATAAGGCGGGATGAAACTGGATCTTGTGCTCTTTCAGTCTGAGGATTTCTTAGAGGTAAGAGTTCTCTAGTGGCTTGGCTGCTTTGCTTTTCTGATCTTCAGGTTGAACCCCAATATCTGATCTGAGTTTTTATTATTCATGCTACATGCATCTATCATCATCCTACTTTGGACAGTATTTCATGGCCTTAAAAATCCATGTGTTCATCTCTTCTCCCTGCCAACACTCAGCAACTTTTCCTACCACTGTCTCCATAGCTTTGCCTTTTCTGAATGTCTCATGATTGGAATCATAAATAAACCTTCCTTCTGCATTGGCTTCTTTCCTATAGTAATATACACTTGTTTCGTCTTTGCATGAGTCTATATTTTATTCCTTTTTAGTGCAGAGTAATGTTCTACTCCTGTATGTATCACAGTTTCCACCATTCATCTACCTAGGAACCTCTGGATTGCTTCAAGTCTAAGTAATTACTGATAAATGTCATTTTTGCATAGACATGAAATTTCAGCTCCTTTTAGTAAACACTTAGAAGCGTGGTTGCAATACTGTGTTGGAGATGTGCTGATTTCCAACATTGTGTTAGCAGTGACTGAGGATCCCTGCTGTTCTGCGTACTCTCAGCATTGCGTTACGCTGACATTCTCCAAGGGGCTGCCACCCCATGTGTGGGTCCTGTTATCACTGGTGCTCAGTACTGTTACATGCATATTTGCTCCTTTGGTTTTCTTTGCTGGTGTCTTTTCAGGTCTTTTGGGGTTTGGTTATTTATTTACATGCCAATCTTCCAGCCTTAGCCTCCAAATGTGGGGGTTTAGGAGTGAGTGCAGCACCATGCCCAGCCCACCTCACCTTCCTTACTTCTCTCTCCTCACCATCCCTTCTTTCCTCCCTTCCCTTCCTTTTTTATTTCTTGTCTGCCTTCATTTTGATCAGTTTCTCTTAATATAGTCTCAAGCCTCGAGCTTCATCGCCAGGCTGCATCCTTTTACTGATGAGGCGACAAAGACATCCTTCATCCTGCTGCCCTGTCTTCCACCCTTTAGCATTTTTTTCACTCTCAGAAGTTTCCTGTTTCTTTACATCTCCTGTCTGTTTTCTGTTGTTTGGCTCTTAACATTAGGTTTCTTAGCATGATAATAACAATTAGTTCACATTATTCATCTGATAGGTCTACCACACCTGCCAAACAGGTTCTGTCTGCCTGCCTGCCTGCCTGTCTGTCTAGCCATCCATTTCTTGCTCTCTTCAAAGTTGTTATTTTTTTTACTTTTAGCATGACCTATAAGTTTTTTATTGAAAGGTGGTGTGGAATACTGGATAACAGACTGTAGGTTCAGCTTTTAGTCAGCTGGACAGTGCTAAGGTGTGGGGTTGAGGAGCATTCTCTAGTCCTAGTATTAGGTCTTGATTTTAGGCTGTGAACTTGACAAGACCCCTCCCCATGTTTTTCTTCGTCATGCACTGAAGTGCCAAAGGACAGCTGCTGAGGCTACAGTTGTGTAGTTACTTCCCCCCAATGAGTGAGGCTCGGAAAAAATTCCGGTTCATTGGACAGTAGCAAAATAGCTGCTTTTGTGGGCAGGTCTCGGTAAGAACATCTGCCAGATGTCTGGGTGAGTTTTCTCCAGCATTCCCATGAGAACTTGGTGGCTCTCCAGGAGGAAGAACTCACAGAAACCTTCCCGATCTCATACCCTGCCCATGATGGATTTTGTTTCACAGGTTTGTCCACATGTAATCTCCAGGGGTATGCCAATTAAGGTTCAGATTTTTCTTACCCTTAGACTGTTGTCATGTAACATACGGTTCACATGTCTCTGCTCAGGTAAATCATAATTCTCTACATTGATCTGTTTCTCCAGATTGGGGAGCAGAAATGTGCCCCAAGAACCACTCTTTTTTGATGAATCTAATTATGGGTTTTCAGTTTAGCTCTTAACTTGAGATGTGGTGGCAACTTTTAAATTCCTTGTGTACATGACCAGAAACTGGCCTGTCTTTTGTCTTTGGAAGAAGGTACTTTTAGCTGCCACATTTAAAGAAGCTCAAAGTCAGTTTACCAAGGTCATGGACGATATTAAACAACCACTGCATATGAATTTTTATTATTAACTTTGACAACTATTGCAGTCTTACATAATGTTTAGACATATGCAGAATATCAGAAAAGAGGTGGTGATTTCTCAAAGTTGGAGAAATCACTGGCAATGGTGAGTAGTCTGTGTGGACCTGAATGAAGGAAAATGATTTTTTTTTTGGAGGAGGGTTATCTTTAGTGTTAGGGGGATACAGGAAAGAAAGAGGACGCTGCACACTTGGAACCCGGTGGTAAGTATGAAAACAGTAACACACTTCCCTGGGCATTTGTTTTCTGTCCGTTCTTACTACTCTTTGGTAACTTCATACATGTGTACAATGATACATGACCATACATTCCCTATTTCCCCTTCCACTACCCCAGTATGTCCCAACATCTCCCCCTTTAACAAGTTTCCTTCCAACATCACTGTGTCCAATTAGTGCTGCCCATAAATGCTTGTGGACCATTCACTGGGCACAGGTAACCTACCAGTGGCCACATAGTCAGGTTTTATCAACATATGCACATGTCTATATTGTAGTACCAAAATAATATCCTGGAATATTTTCCATGAGCTAGGTGGTTACTAAAGATTCTGGTCTCAGTGGTAGTCTGAGAAATGGTACCAATGTCCACACTCTTGTGGAATCTTATCAGAGGCAATGTTGGTACCTCAGTGGTCCCAAATGGAGGGAGCAGACATCGTGGACAGACTAGGGGCTTGCAATCAAATGGGTCTACTCTATCAGTGCAGCCACAGCAGCGTGCTGGAGTATCAGTTTTCTCAGTTGTACAGGGAAGATGGACTGCGTGCTCTACCATGTTATATAGATTCAACGAAGCAGTACAGTTTATGTGATGTTCTTATCCAGTGTCCAGCAGATGACAGGTGTGCAAGTAGAGATACCATGGTCTCAGTTCTAGAGTCTATGTACTCCAGAATACATAGACTCAGCAGGAGCCAGAAATTAGGCAGACGATGCTAACTAATAAAATCAGATAAGAGTTTCTTCTTGACTTTATGGCTTTTGAATGACTGAGGAGGTGAATTTATTGGTATTTATTTTAGAGGGCCACTGAAAACAGTCCTGTTACTAATGTGTGAAAAAGTAGAAAATTGTAGTTTCATTTTCACGCATCTATTTGAACAGGAAGACGTTATGTTCTTTTTTAAAGTAGACATATTATATTATTTTGCAGATAGAACCAAAGCAGGTGCCAAAGCTGCTGTGGTGGCCAGGAAAAGGGTAAGACTGTGTTTCAAAGTTAACTTCAAATTCTGTTTTTTGAAGAAAGGCAAATTACATAAATTACATCATAAGTAATCTGATTTTTATTCTGAAGGTTGGTTGAATATGTATTTGCTTTCTTAGGCTGACCATAAAAAACATTTGTGATGATTTCCATTGATTTTAGAATTAGGGCAATAAAAACACAGATGGACAAGGAAGCAAGTACTTTTATTTAAGTCATATTTCACATATAAACTTATAGCAGTGTTACTTATATATATTGTGTTACTGTATCACATGAGAAAATTAATTTTCTCCTAGAAAGTTTAAACAATTAAAATTTATAGCTTAATATGGTGATTAAACTTTAGAGAACAACATTGAGTATCTAGAGTTCTGGATAGAGTATTTTAATGGAAGCTTTAAAGCCAAGTACATTTAAAAATATACTTTAAAACATTAACACATTATTTTGAATATTATATGTGGAATAATGTCAAACTCTATTTACTGTGCAAAATATAAGTAAGACAGTGACATTCTCGTGAGAGTGTCCCATTATAGGAAATCACTGACGTGGAATGAGAGAGTACTTACAGCATACACTTGGTCATGTGGTGCATCTAGGTTTTCTCTCAGAGTCCAGGAATAGACCCTGTGTGCACCCTGGGGCTCTGCAGACTGTGCAAGGCAGTGCAGCCTTGCCACTGCACAGTGTGGACAGAATTGGTTATTTCAGTGTCTTCTAATTTACATATCGAATTAAAAGTTATAGAAATATTAACTATTTTTATGTATCATTTCCACTTACCATTGTCCCACAGAAGGACAGCATTAGACTTAGAAAAATACTACTCATTATAAATACGAGTGTAAGTGTCATATGAAACACATTATTTTATTCAACTAACTAGTAAAATGTCTTGAGAACATGGATAAGTATATAAAACATAATTGTTACTGAAAATATAAAATCTAATGTGAGGCTCTACAGCTTCTGTTCAGAATGCCTATTCTAACTGTCTAGAAGATCATTCAGTTGTAAAGAGTTTGGGTCTTGTTAATTTTAGTGTGTGATGTTTTTAACCTGTTTGTAAGTTTCAAATACTAAATTTTATAAAAGTAAAACATTATTAATAAAAATGGCAAAAAGCAAACCAAGAGAAAAATGTAATGTGTGTCTTTAAATGCCAAACATGAGTCAGTTCCTGCTTTATTTGCTGCTCTGACTCCTCCGTACAGTTTTCATGATGAGGATTGCAAGCTGGGCTCTGGCTGGAGACTCCCCTGTACAGGACTGACCAGGGGTATTTCCCATGATACCAGGTAGAAGCTTCCTCTATTGAGTCATCTGCCACTGCATGGTTATGATGTGGTGTGCTCACTCAGCACTTAGGATGCGTGTGTCTTTTGAAATAAGTAGGCATGGGCTCCTTCTCGGGCCCATTCCGATGGAGAAATCTTACGATGATGAAGCTGAGGCGCACAGGTGTCTGTGACAGCTTCCAGGGCTCACTGGGCCCCACCCCCTTGTCTCCAGAGGCTCAGCCCAGGCCCTTTCCATTCATCTGCTTTTTACAAGTCACACCCAGGAAAAAGGCCATTTTTGTCCATTGACAGATTTTCAAATTTTTATTTTTCTTAGAAACTCACCTTTATAAAAGCATAAATCACAGGCAAGCAAAGAAGAAATACTAGTTGAAGCAAAATGGGAGATATTAGGAATTTGTGCAGGTACTTTAGGTTATATTAGTTTTAAAAAACACAAGTAAGTTTGTTGAGGAGAACCTGGAGCATTAGATGCACTGAAGTGCCTGGAACAGACTGTGCAAGATGTGCCTTGTGGATGGGCAAACTTCAAAATGTAGTTACTTAGTGTACTCATAAAATAGTAATGAAGCTTCTTATATTACATCAACAAAGTATTTACAAGTGTTATTATGGAAAGGAAAACTAATACGGACTAAACATATTATTCTTGAAATTACTGAAAGATTTACTTTACTCAACATACTATAACATTTTCAGCCACACAGTCAAATGGATCCAACTCAAGTCCTCAGTCAGGCTTGGCAGTGAGCATCTTCACACACTGACCCATCTCTCTGGTGGCAGTGAGCATCTTTACACACTGACCCATCTCTCTGGTCCTGAGTACTTCTTTCTCAAACTCTGGCTGACTTTGGATATTTCAAATCTCATCTCTGTCACTGTCATTTCCATTTTAATTATCATTACTTATTTTTCCTATATTTATTAGACATTATATTCCTTCAGAAAACTTTATCCATATCTTTACCCACTTCCCCTCTCCTCATCATTTGTTATTCCTAATTGATTTGTAAACATGGGCTCACTCATTAGTTATCTAGAGTTTATCAGTGTGTTACGAGTTTTTCAATTGTTCACCAAAGTGTTTATCAGTTCCGGTAATTTTCTTGTCTTGGAGTCTTCAGGTTTTGTGACCTGTTGTAAAACATTGCCCCTTCACTTACACACATTAGAGTTTGTGCTTGACTTCACGGTTCCTCTGTTGCTCTGGCCACAATGAAAAGGCACTCACCAGTACAACTTCCCCTCATGCCCCATATCCAGATCACTTCCTTAGGACCTGTTAGAGAGACTCCTGGAGACATGGCATGTTCTTCTTTCTCAGCAACAAACAGCAGAACAAAGATGCTTTTGCCAGTTTAATCATATTCTGTTGTTCTAATTTGTATTTCTCCAAAGTTAGTTGCTTTTGACTTCTTAGTATTTTTTTTACAAATTTACATGGACTATCTAGATATTAGTAATAAAGCTATTCATTTTTCCTCATATTTTGCTCTGTTATATCACACACTTTTTCTTTTATCCCTAGAAGTGCAGATAGTAAACATTTGTATGTAGACACGTGTGCTTTCTGCTTTGATTATTATACTATTAAAAATGTATTGGGGATAATATGGTGGAAAGGTCGAGAGTGGCATCTAGAGTTAGACTGTGAGTTACACATTTCAAGTCTTATCACTTGCTGACAGCGTGAGCCAATATTTGCTGCTTAATTCTCTGACCTCCCGGTTTCTTTTTACGTGAGAATAAAAGTATTGCTGAACAGGTTCTCTGACTGTGTTGCTCCACTGTATAGTGCTTTGAATGAGGGTAAGGCTTTATAGATACGAGATGCTGAGGGAAAGTGAGTTTGTGTTCACATGCTATGTGAGTACAGGGTACAAAATGCTACCTGCAGCTTCCTAATCAGCTCTCCCAGTGCTGCCACTGGAGTGTAAGCAGTCTGTCCATTCCCCACACCCTGTGATTGGTGCACGGATTCCTTTAACACAAGGCATTTGATGTGTTAAAAATATCTGTTTCCATATCTAAAAATATCTATTTCCATATCTACTCTTTATATTCATTAAGCAAGTTCCAAACTGTTTTATTCTCTCTGTCTTTTCTTTGATATGTGAACTAGTGACCCTTCATTACCTCAGTCTTTCGAAAACTTTTATTATTCTTGCCTGTTGACTTTTCAGATGAACCTTAAAATTATTTTTCTAAGAATTATTTGGTCAGAGGAATACTATTGAGATGGTGATTGGTGTTGTAGAAAAACCTTATATGTTAATTGTGGAGACTGTGTTTATTGTTCAGTACCCACTCATGTAGAAACTAGCTTGTCTCATTCAGCCTTCTCTAGTTTCCAGGGAACAGTCTTCTGTCCCTAATTAGCTTGATGCCAGCTAAGTTTCACTGGTTGGAAAGGATTTCCATTTCACTTTATCCTCCAACCCATGTAGTGCAATCCTTATTAGTCTTATTAAATAAAAACTCGGAGCAAGATATCAGGGGGTGAAAGCTGAGAGATCGGAGAGACCGAGCAGCCAGTCACTAGAGTTCTTACCTCTCCAAATGCTCAGGATGAATAGGCAAGATCCTGCCTCTATGAATCCTCAGACTGAATGCCTTGAGCTCCTGTCTCCTCCCGCCTTATAATTTTCTCTCTGCCCAGCCATATCACTCCTGTCTCTACCTCCCTAGCACTGGAATTAAAGGTATATGACTAGCTTTGCACTCTGATCTTCAGGCAAGCTTTATTTGTTAGATCACAAACAATATATCACTACAAACCCATGTCTTTTCTTTCCTTTTTGTTTATACACAGACATTATGTGTGGGTCTTTTTCTCCTAATGCTTATTGATACCAAGAATTTAACTCGCATCATTTGAAAAATAAAAGCTAATGACCATTCTCTTGTGATACGTGTATAATGGAATAATTTAGGCTATGCATTTTTTTCCAAACCTATTACAGAAGTTCTTCATGGCAATCAGACATTCGGTTAGCTTCAGTCTGGTTAGTGGGACGACCTGGAACACTGGATGACTAGATACTTAGCCCTGCATGGGACTGCTAAGCTCATGGCTGTTAATGTGGAATCTGTGCACTACAACCCACTGCATTTACTTAGCTTTCTGTGCATTTTTTCCAGAGGCAAGATTCATGACTAGTTCCCACTGCTGGCATCCAGTCCCAGCCAGAGGGAGGTCTCTAGAAGAGCAGCAGTCTCTGAGCCCATGCAGGCACAGTCGGTGAGCCTGTGCACGCACAGTGAGCTCGAGCACGCACTACCAGTCAGTGAACCCATGCAGGAACAGCCAGTCAGTGAGCCTGTGCAGGAACAGTCAGTCAGTGAGCCTGTGCTCACACAGTCAGCCTTTACATCTCAGTTACTTCCTTCTTGTTTTCCTTGGTGCACTTTCCCATGGATCATTGTTTCCTCGGCGTGGCTAATTGATGTGTCCTGTCACTATATTAGTCTGCATTATTGCTTACTTTAGTTTTCTCTTAGTTGTTCAAGAACAAATTTTTATCAAATTGAGTTTGAAGATCTAATTGTCTTTCATTAGTGATCCCTGAGCCAGTTAGCATGTCATCTGTGTGTGACAGAATGATCCCACTAGTCCTCCAGCTGGGCAGCCCCTGGCTCCCCCGTTTCCTTCCTTGTGTGCTTAGGCAAAGCAGGTTTCTTCA